ATGACAGAGAGAGAGAGAGAGAGAGAGAGAGAGAGGGGGGGGGGGGGCGAGGGAGAGAGGGTGAGAGAGGGGGGGGGGAGAAGACCTAGGAATGCGGGCAGTGCGTCGTACGAGGTGAGTTGTGGAACGGAAGCAAGGGTGGAGTACACAGAAGTCTGATTATACACACGGGACGTCCAGGCGTTCCGTTTGATGCGGCCGTGCGACTGACGCGGCTGGCTGACCTCCGTGACCTGTGACAGGTGTAACCGAGGTCCGGCTCCTATCGCTTCCTGCCATCAACATTCCTTGGCGGCATTGTCTTACCGGCGCGCTGTGCTGTGAATAGCCCGCGAGGAATGAGTCTGTCGGCGGTCGGAGGTGGCTTCTACGTACGGTCGTATGCAGCTAATGTTAGGCCACTCTCCCGGCCTAAAATTGGCATGCCTGAGTTGATTTGCTTAACTAGCAAGGCAACGCTCGCTAAGATGGCCCCGGAAAAAGAATGCCGTGGTGAGCGGACGCGAAGATCGAGCAAGACCACAAGAGTCATGGGAAGTATGCGCTGCTGGTGCTGTCACCGACAAATAAGTGAAGGAAATGATTGTTGTGCATTGGCAAGCCCATATCTTAACGTCATCAGCATTCTATGTCTAGCTCAAATTATACCAACAATGTGTGGGAATGAAATAAATGCCAATTGCAAATTGGTCTTACACTGATCAACGACATTCCCTGACATCACTTGAGTAACCAAACTGGCTCGGAAACAAAGGATGACCGTGCCCGCTGCAAGTTGCGACAACTTTCACCTCCATTTAAGATATTGCTGGTCATTGATACGGTGACCGAGTCATACAATCTCCCTTGGTATCAAAGCGGGGTGTATAACGTGATCCTGCGAGTCCTCGCTGTCGGGGACAAGCCCCTATGCTAGATGCAAGGTGAGTCAACACACGTCTTCAGTTTAAAACAGATGTTCTCAATGTAACGACGTTGTCCATTTTCATGCAACTAATCCAAAGAAAAATGGCTTGTAACCAAATATTTTCTAGAACATGAGCCTCGGACAGTAGGTCTGATAAACGTCACATTTAATGTTTGCGTGGAGTCCAATCCAAATTCAAGCATGGCGTGTGATTAGAGGGCGGCATCGAGCCCTCCAAGGCACACGCACTTCCCAGCCGACTTCGCGGCTTTCAAACACGCAAGACAAACAACATTCGCACAAAAGGCAGCTCCCAGGCCTCTCACGCGATCTGGACAAGGACGCATTGTTTGCATCCTCAACAGTGGAGCCATCATACACCGCTGCACCATACACGCGCCGACAGCGCCCACAGCAGTCGCGTGCCCGGTGCACCTCCCTCCTCGCATCGAAGGTTACCCGTGTGGAACAAATCAGCACGCACGCACGACGGACGGGGGTGGCCCAGCGGGCGGCCCGTCGGTGGCGTCTCTCACCTCGCCACGTTGTAGACCAGCCCGACCGGCATGGCTGCTGGCAGCGGCAGTGGCGGCGGCGGCGGCGGCGGCGGCGGAGACTGCGGTGCGACAGCGGACACCAGCCGGCGACTCGAGCGGCCGCCGTGCGCGTAGCACCGGCCGACGCCCGGCAGCCGAGGCCGCCGTCACCATTGGCCGCCTGTGACGTCACGCTCCGGCCGGCCGCGCTCGCGCCTCGGGGGCCAGGTGCCGGCCCCGCTCGAAACGGGGCGGCTGGGCAGCGCCCGCAGGTGGTGGGCCAGATGGCAGCCGAGTGCGTCCCTTTGTTTTTGGACGTTGTTCGGTTCGAGCGCGCGTCTACCTTTTGACGTGCTGCTGTCAGGTGTACATGTCCACTTCGGTCTTCTTAGCCCGGAGACCTGAATGGTTGGTCAAATCATGTGAAACGATCATAAATACTTTGTAAGGAACGTTCCATCGGAACTCCGTGCGAAAGTTACATACCGGTTAGATAAGTAAAGTCTTAATGTACGCCCACCGCATTCCGCTGTTCATACCACCGCTGCAACATGTTCGGTAGAACGATCGGATCAGACGCCAGTGGAACAAAAAAATGGACAACACAACGCATAACCAAATGCAAACAACGCCAACACACACATACGCGAACGTAACCATACACATATTCATTAATGCGTAAATCTCAGGGCTTGACAACGGCAGATAGTAATCATGCGCCATAAGTTAGACGGTCGCCATAACCTTAGAAATCAAGAACGGCCTGTGTGGATCACGTAAGCAAAAACGCTTTCGCCGGCTCCGTGGGTACCAACATCATCCTTGTCCCACTGCTGGCACGAACACCAACGTCAGGGTCGAAAAGACGGGTGTAGTAGATTGTACCTTCAGAACAAATACATAGTTGTTTTCTCTCGTGATCTTTGTCTACAGCTTTGATAATCGGCATTGCAGGCATTAGATCAAGCTCGTCCATGTATGCGCAAAATAAAATTGTCCTGGGAATCATAAGTCTAAGTATATACTTCACTCCAAAGCGATTACGAACGAGGTGACTCTAGCATTCTGTTTTAAAGTAGTGGACTTAAGACACCAAACTTCTTTTCAGAGGGCCAAGGAATGCATGGTACGCTTAGCATACGCTTCATCATGCTGTGATCAGACGGAGACCCTTTCTCCGGCAATATCTAAAAGCCGATTTTCATCATGGAAACAATCGATCCCGAGTTGCTGGTAGTTAAGTTGCGGTTATAGTTAAAATTCTGCTCCACATGCTCCCACGATTTATTCATGACCTTCCTTTCCACATTCCTGGAATAGGCATTTACGCAGCCAGGCATTTTTGTTCTTGTTTGACTATTCCGCGCAAAAGAAAGGATTTCCTTTCCTCATAGCCAAGTTAATGGTAGCAAAAACATGTCACCGCCACCATCGTAGTGCACGCAACCTCATGAGTCTGCCAAAGCGGTAAGGACTGGAAAGGTCGAGCACCACATTCCTTGTCTGTAGCGAAAAAGTGCTGCCTCCTTCCCACGTCAGGAAGCAGCACAGATGGCGCCAAGCCTGCGGACGCCGACGCCGCTAGTCATACATCGTCACATGCGCGCACGCAAAGGCACCCGTGCGAACCAGTTGCATGCGTGCCAAATCGCAAGCTTTCATTCCACGCCGCTTGCACGCGACGGAAACATGTCGCCTCGTCCGGTTTGACAGCAGCGCAAGGGTTGCTGATCGTCCAAAGCGCGCCCGGACTCGCTCCACGGCGCCGGGGCGCTACGTGGCGGTCGGCGTGTGGCGTGACAGTCTGGCTCACGCGAGCGCGACACACGCAGAGGCCGTTCGGGGTGACGGGGGCACGACCGCCGCACCGCGGTCTGCAACGTCCCCCGGACCGAACGGACAGGCGGCTCCGTGCTGCATGCAGTGCGAAGCTTTCTTGCGTCGAAGTGAAATGCTCGAGTTGGGCAGGAAGTGGTGGTGACGTTAAAAACGCGTTACAAGTCGCTGATGATACTTTACATGGTAGCAGCGAAAGTGTCTTTCGATGGGAGAGTTGGGAGTTGGGAAAAGCGTAAGACGGACGAATCGATATTGGCTGCACAGCACGCAGTTCCAAGCCGTCTATCAGCGGGCCGCCCGAGCCCCGTGATTAGGATGTTCGTTACGGATGGAATACCGTGACCGTGGCGTGACGCGGGAGCTCGTAAGTAACAGACAGGCGTGCGCGCTAATTCTGGCGTTAAAGACGTGGCGAGCATTAGGATGATAGGATTGACAGCAGCTCACAGCGTGTCAATCAGCTCCCAGCTGGTGCCACGCCCGCCAACCATGAAGCTGCAAGCGAAACTTGTGTTCGATCGATGAAATATATGAAGCGATGCTAGCAGTTTATTCGGCAAAACTGTTGGGTTTAAATGAATACGTCGATGGTGGAGCAGCTTTACTAAACCTCCAATCAAAACATCACCGCGAGTGTTCTGGACGCAGCGCGCTCGCTCGGTGGTCGGCGACACACCTCCGCAGCTGCGGCGGCGGCAGGGCGGCATGAAGCGGGGCCCGACGACCTCCGGCGGGCACTGTACACACACATCACCGGACAGTCAGAACAATGCCGCCCACCGCCCTTTGGCCGGCGCGTCATCGCCACCGCCCCGGTTCACGTGGGAGAATGCATTGCAAATCACTGCGGTGCGGTGCAGGCTCGCTGGAGGCGTGGGCTCCGCCACCGCAGAGGACACCAGACCTTCCAAATTTGGCGGAATTCAACATTACGCCCGGGGGTCGCATCTGAACAACTTGCAAACGTGTCTCAATTCTTCGCCGGTTGCATGTTCAGGATCCGGTACCATGCAAGCAATTGATCTGCCTCGCCAGCTAATCCGTTTTCTCACGGATCCCTAATCAAACATGGTTAACATCAGGCTATATTTCCAGTAATAGTATTGATGAATCTATCACAAATCTGCCAACTCAGACTCAGTGTAGCCTGACACGCACATCACACCAGTGCGAACTTTGTCCCCAGAAACTGCCCTAGTCAACTTGCCCTAACCCGTTTAGTGTGGCCAACTTGAAAGTAAAGCCATTCCCGCGTGTTTCGACACCATCCTGTTTCAGTCAGTTGATTAATTAATCCACGAATCATCCATGATTAAACCGCACGCTCGGATTGGACTCTCGTAGCACCGGCCGCAGAGCGATCTCTTGCCCTCCCCTCTGCTCAGCGCTTGATCCGGAGCTAACGTCCGCCACGGAGCGCCCACCTCTTGAACTCGCAGTCACCGACAGAACACGAACGCGAATGTGACGCCTCACCGCCGCCGTCCGCCGCGCCCCAGCCCCACGTCTGATGTGTCGGAGCAGGTCAGGAGACACGCGAGGTCACGGACGCATCTAATGGGGCACATGCCTCCCTCCCGCGGGACCTTGCTGTAGTATAGAGTCCTTTCCGCCGCTTTGGCTACATTTCATGTTATGTGCATACATAATTGGAATATTGCGAACTCTGCCCGAAAATGTTGCGTAGAGCCCCGCTTTGGACGTCGACGAATGCCACATAAACTGAAGCAATTTATTGAGTAATGAAAAAAAATGCGACGCATCTCATAAAACGGTTCCTGTTAAGAACGTTAGAACCTTCCGCACAATATTCATGCACTAAAATACTGATTACGCTAATACAGGAAGAGAGCACGCGATTTCACAAACGATACAAAATGCCAACCGCAGTAGGACAACTGGCGTCGCGGCACGAAAGCTATACAAAAACGCTAATCGCGGTCACCTTTGCAAACCTATTCACAGCGAGCATTATCAATGACAGTTGCTCCAGGCAGTCTGTAAGAATAAATCGCACGCGATTTGCACCGAAACAATACCCGTGCCACCGGCTTCGCAAGACTCCCGCACAATCCAAACGCACCCATGCAGTTCAATCGGTGGAGAAAACGGACCGCCTGGGCAGCAATCACGTCACACAAACAGTCACGGACGCATACGTCACGCGTCACGGCAGCCGTCACGCACGCTCAGACCGCACCGCGCACGGAGCACGTGCGCTAACCCCACCGCCACGCGAGCGCCGGCCCGCAGTCACGCGACCCTCCCGCGGGACTTCACACATCACTCCGGAATACGGCGGGCGCTCAGCGCGTCCCGCTGCAGTTCTGCTCAGTCTCGGGACATCAAACAGCCGCGGAACCACCGCCGGGTCACGCGTCCATCCGCTCCACAACGGCGCACGGCCACGCCCGCGCCAGTAGTGCGGGCTGCCGCGTTGGCGCACGTCCGCCCCGCGTCCGGCAGATGGCGCCGCCGGCGGGCCGCGGCCGAACGGCGCGGCGCTCACACCTTGCTCTGCTTGGCCCAGAGGTCGAGCGCGCGGCTGACCACCCGGTCGGTATCCTCCTCCACCACCTTGTCGAGCAGAGCGCGCGCCGCCGACGGGTCCTCGACGGCGAGCAGCGCGCGCCGGTGCGTGATGAGCAGACTGGCGCCGGTCAGCGGCAGGATCCGCTCCGCGCCCGCCACCAGCTTGTCCACCACCCGCTCCACCTGTCCACAGCGGCGGCGTCAGGGTGGGTGGTTTGGGATTCGAGGCCGCGTCGACAGCGAGGCCATTTCGCACCCCCTCGAAGACAACCGTCAATATGTGTGGTGTTACGCTACCAATGTATTGGCACTTATACCTATGAAGTTCCAATAGGGTTCTTACACTGTGGATCGAGTATAAATTATGGTGAAGTCAGTGCGTGCTAAAAAATGAGAGTATAATTGCAGTTGTGCAACAGGGGTAACGAGTGATCAACCGACGAAGGGGTGCAGGCAAAAATACCACCGCCTGTCCACTTCACGACGTTGGCACCAGTGTTTGTGTGTGTCATTGGGGCTTTACGACGCAATCAGCTGCTGAGGCGTCGCCTGCCTCTCACCCTGGCAGGAAGGGCGGGCACCGCGGGGAATCGAACCCCGAACCTCTGGTTTCGCAGACGCATGTTGGCACCAGAATAGGACATGTTCAACAGAAGGTGGGATCACACATCTGCCACGCAGTGGCACACCTTGGTATGCCAAGTACGAGTGCGTTACATGTGTTGCATACCTATGACCCCAACGAAGCCTGCAAAGCACATTTTCTTGGAATCGGTTTTTGAGGTAAGAGGACTCCCAGTCACCAGGCTCGGGCTTGATCTCCCTGAATGGGTGAAGATTCTGATCATACATGCTCTGCCACGCGTCGCGGACGTTCTTGTTGTTCATTGGTGTTTTCGGGCGCGTCGACTGCGGTGGTCATTTTGCGCCCACGCGTCGCGGACGGAAAAATATGCAAAATACGCCACATCACCACTTCTGTAGTGAACGTGATAAAACTTCGCACATACAAGAGACAAGCTGGCGATAGCGGCGAGGCCTTTCCGGACGGAGCGGCACTGTCCTGACTCCGCGAACCCTGCAGCCCCCGGACGCCGCTCCCTTGGAACCTGTTAAGATACACAGGCACGGCCTCCATCCAGTATCCAGCTTGCGAACAAGACGCACCGACCAGCAAACTTACGGCCGCAGTCGGAAGACGGTGTCCAGAATAGGGGCTCGGGTGCATTTAATAGGCTTCGTCCTTGCAGCGCTATAAGCATTCGGTTAAGCTTTTACGAACGCCAAGGAAGGGACCGGCCCCGATCCCAACACGCGATAGTTCCGGCGCCTGACCCAGGCGGCGCTGCCGTCGCTTCCAGGCGCCGCGCTCGCAGCACACCACGCGGCCCGAGCGGCGGCTGGCGGCGCGTGCCACTGACCGACGAGCTGGGCAGCACGCCGCAGAAGAGCCGACTGATCCAGCCGGCGAGCAGGGTACCGTCGGCCAGCAGGCCGAGCGCGGCCAGGTGCGCCGCCAGCGGCGGGTCCTCGCGCTCCAGCTGCGCCGCCAGCCACGCCAGCTGGCCGGGCAGCGCGTCGAGCGCCTCACGCTGCAGCTGCCACAGCCGGCAGCAGACGAAAAACTGGTCCGTCTGGTCGTCGAACAGGTCCATGACCAGCTGCGCCACCTGCCGGCCGGGGTCGGGGAGCGTCAGGTCAGGGTCACATCGGGGGTCACGATCGGGGTCGAGGTCAGGCCAAGTCAGGGCTGGGTCAAAGTCGAGTCACGCGCAAGGCTACGACACTGTCCGCGAGCCGCATGAGCCCCCACCTGAACATTTTCCATCCTACCTTCTCATCCGTCACCGACCGGAGCAGCAGACCAGCACCAGTAGCTGGTCTGCTAAATGGACCGTCCCCCACGCAAGCGAGGTGAACCCCCCTCCTCCGCTTGAGCCCGATCATCCTGAGACTGGGGCGAGGCTCGGACGCAGCTGGACCCGCCACCGCCACAGCGGCAGACAGCCGTACCGCCGGGCTCACCCGCCCCCTGTACCTGCAGCTGCGGACACTCGTCCTGCCGGAGGATCTCGTCGGGCAGCATGTGCGCCAGCCGGTACGTGTTGAGCAGCCAGCCGAGCCAGAACACCAGCGGCCAGGGCGTCTCGTCCGTCACGTTACGCAGCACGCGCAGCCAGTGGAACGTGTCGGTGGCAGTCTCCCGGCGGCGCGCCGCCACGAACTCGGCCGCCTCCGGGTGGCACGGCTGCGGCGCGGACCACGGGGTCAACACCACACCGCCGAAGCGCGAGACATTGGCTGGGACGTCGGCAGAGCGGCCGGCCGGAGCACGGAGCGAAGTGACTCGTTTGACAGGCAGAGCTGAGGAATCCCAGGAATTTGGTGTTCCGGAAGGTGTCGGACTGGCTCATGATTAAATATATCGAAGTAGTCAGTGCGTGCTTGGTTCATTTGAGAAGCGAAGCCATCAGTGATACAGCTGGTGCAAACGCCATAACAGTAACGGCGAAATCTCATGCAGATCGCGATGGGGGAAGACTGAGGAGCATGTAGTTCTATCCCGAGGGAATACCCGTCCAGGACGGGTAAAATCAATGTCTAAAATAACAGCATTACATAACCTTCCGAAAATCACCAGTGCCGCCCGCTTTGCTACCTTTTCATTTAGGGTAGTCATGTCCGCACCCCACCTCTATCACAAGTCCATCAGCCCTCACCCAGACACCCGACCAGGCCAGTCCCAGACCAGCGTCAGGCCGTTCCAGCCCGCCTCCAGTGCCCCACCTTCTCGTGCCCGGCCGACCGATCGACCTACCTGGACTTTGAGCAGCAGCCGCCAGACCAGCGGCCGGTAGATGCCGGGCACCAGGTGGAGTCGGACGAACTGGGCCAGTCGCGCGCCGTCCACCGGCGTCTCGCGCAGCAGCGGCTCCAGCGAGCGCTTCTCCTCCACACAGCGGAAGCCCATCTTCTCGTAGTACTGCGAGCGGAAGTTCCGCTCGTCCGCCTGCGCCATCTGCCGGCGACGGGCGTGAGTCGGCTCAGACGCGAGCCGTCCGCAGGGACCGGCGTCAGAGCAGAGCCATGGCACCAGACTAGTGGCCTGTGTGGCGGGCTGGGACCGGCACAGCGACTGGGTCATTACATAACCAACGAGTGCCACCATTAACGCAGTCGGCATCATGTGCGGGCTCGAATCCGCCTGCCGTATATCCTTGGTCTATGCGGCAACTAGCGCAAGAGGTCGCAACGCTAACAAAACTGCTGTAACAGGCTGGCGAACAGGCCATCACGCATTAATAAAAAATAAACACGTAAATCCATGAGCGCATCCCAAATTTTTATCCGAATCTCAAACAATACACTCCAATGAGGCATCACCATGCAGATAAGCACAATGATTGCCATCAGCGCTTCTGTGTCAGTTAACAACAGTAAAGTGCATACCAGTGCAAGTGGACAAACATGACACAAAAATGGCACATTCCACAGGTGCACTAAATACTATTATTTCTGTGTGCCTTATGGGATGTCGATGCTACAGAATGCGCTGCTTAAGATTTTCATGAGTTCTGACACATTCCTGTGCATTACGAACGCGGCCGAAACGAAACCTTATGACAACACACGACCTGAGCCCGACACGTATCGTACCGTATTAATGGTTGGAGTTCTGTTCGTCCAGGGCAGGCACCGGTCCAACTTTGGCGTTCAGTTGGTCGAAGAGCTCGCCGAAGAGCTGGAACTCAGCATCAAACTTGTCTATGCACTGCTGCCTCTCCTTCTGCAGCGTCTCCACTTCCTGCTTCAGCGTGTCGAAAGTCTGGCGCACCTTCACCAGCCTCCGGGCCACATCACCCACCGTCGCCTGAGGACAGGGCCCAGATCAGTAAGGCCTCACCAACCATCACCTGAGGGCAGAGCCCAGATCAGCACGGCCTCACCAACCATCACCTGAGGACAGAGCCCAGATCAGTACAGCAGTGCTCAGTGCTCTGATGGCAAGGTTAGAGGCGTTATTGACATCAACCATTGATAAACAGGATCTACCCAAAAGCTGTCAATACCTCACCTGGTCTCCAGTCGAGGTCACGTCCAGGTCGCGGCAGATCGACTCGACCTCCGAGTCCACCTTGCGAAACTGGCGACAGATCGGCGTCAGTAAGGCCATGTACTAAGGCCAGTAGGCCACTATTTACACTATTTACATGCAAGCAAATTGCAAATGACAGACAATGCTATTGTCCATTCCATTCCAACCTAAAGCAATCACCCTTGATCTTCTACCGATTGTGTTGTTACTGTGGCTCACATCACAGTAAGTTGTGTAGTGTTTCAAGTCGAAATAGCGACAATGTCTACCTTTTAAAAATAAAATGTAAATGGTGTTCACAGAAATGGTGTTGTATCACGCAAACATACTGCACAAACAGTTCTGGAATTTCTACCAGATTCTGACAAGGGAGCAACATTAATGGTATCAGATTCAAATACAAGTGAATACAGGTAATCCAGGCTACCAAATGTAGCTCAACCTTACAGCTTTGCTTGGGTAAATTCAGAATAGCTCATCTTATAAAGGGAGGTCACAGCGATTATGGTTACTTTTACTAGCAGGTCCTGCTGTTGCCACTCATGCAGTTGCCAGCTAAGGGCGAACTCAAATTTGGTGACGATGGTTAATGGTTGACATGCATATCCCACAAGCTCATGAAAGAGTTACCAGAGCCTCCAAAGTGTCCACAGCTGCTGCCGTGCTCATCCTTAGGCACCTGGAAGTTAAAACATGTCTAAATGCCAGGAGTGCAAACATTTGTGAACAACTCAATACCACTTAGAATTTACTGGATCAGAACAGTAGAACTGCTATCAAGCTACACAAATGAAACTTGAATGCAGGCATGAAGAACAAACAATGAGCACATGGGCCAAAATCCACAACTGTTGCACATTTAATATACATCAGCCTCAAAGATGAGGACTAGTACTCAAACAGTGAGGTAGTAAGATATATAAATTGGATATCAGCCATATATAAGTGGTAGGCGATTAGGGAAGAGAGGGCAGCAGTTCCATATCTGGAAAACCTGACATCCAAATGATAGTGGTGCATGGAAACAATGTAACTAGCTGAATGCCTTGGGCAGCATTGAACATGTAGGATGATAGCAGACCACAAAGCTATTCTACATTTGACATCTTCATGCTAGACATAATGTCTATTATTAAATTACTTACTACTTGCTTATTATATTACATTATATTACTTACTATTACATAATAGACATAAAACTTACACAAACAGGAATGGGTGTGTTTGGGACCTGACAACTGGATCTTATCAATGCTTTTTGAAGGTGTGCCAGCTTTACTGCCATAGATTAAATGATGCAGTATTCAAACACTTCTTCACATTTCAGTGATTGAAAGCTGGCTAACCATGAGTCTTACCAGGCCTACCAATTTCCCCAAACAATCAATAAATTTATTGGTTGTGGTGATTGTTTCTGGCATCTGTGGCATGAACAGATGAATATGTGTTTGGAAGATGCTGGTCGCTGAACTATAATTCATAACTATGCAGTTTTGATGGCCTAATTTCATTTTCCCTTTGCATGCTGCATTCTACATAAGTTTTTAAAATGCAGCAATGGCTAATTCTCAGTTGATTACCACCACATATCAGGAGCATCACCTATGCTCAATGATTTTCAGAAGGAAAATTTATCCATGCTGTGCAAATGGTTTCACCTCTGTTCTTTCACCTCTGTTCACATCAGTATGACATCAGCTTTGATCACCCACTTCCAATATAATTATGCTTCAAATGCCCCAAATGGGCAGTTCCATGGTTTGAACTGGAGTGTATGAGGCTGACAGCACACACCAACTAAAATTTTAGCAAATAATTGTTCTCTCTGACATTAACTGGTGCAGGTCTTGCATCACTGATACAGAACATTATGGTCATAGATCTGTGTTAGCCTATGCCAGGGCCCAGCCAAATTTTCTGCAACCAGCAAATTTAATTTCTCCAGATCAAGCAGGGGAATACACATTCAAATTGCACTGCAATGCTGCAGGACAACCATCTCCAATTAAATAAATTGTAAGTGCCCTGAAACTTGAACAACATGCTACAGAATGAATCACACTTCTTGTTGCAGAAAATAACCCTGAAACTGCAAACACTGCAAACAGGTTAGCTTTCAGAAAGGCTGGGATTAGGTAAGCCAGGCTCCTGAAGTTGAAAACTTGTTCATGACTGAAACCTGAGACCCTTAGCCTAATAACTTTGGTACATTTCTTTCTCTTCCAAATAATTCTTAGGGGCAAGAGGCAGTTAGTCAATTCCTAAGTTTGGACCAAATCTCTCTGCAGACTTGACTGCTATCAAAATCAAAGAAGTTATTTTGAAAATGTGACTAAGGACTTCACGCTTTTCTAGGTCCTTCCTTTCAGGATCGCCAGGTTGTTTTTTACATGGGACCTGGGTCTCCCAATATCTACCTGCTTTTCCCACCTCAGTACCACCAATGCTGATCCTCTTGTTGCTGGAATATCACAAAAAATGAATGAAAATGGTTGATATCACACAGTTAATCTTTTTGGCTACCATGTCATGGCCACAACTCCTAACCTATTCAAATGAACTATGATTTCCTAAATGAAACAAAACTGCCATGTAAAATTGCCCAAAAATTTAACATTCACCAAAATATGCTATCGGACCAACACCATCAAGTAACACTCATCCAGGGGGATTGTCAGGCTGCTGGCTTATCCCCTCCCCATGCCTCAACAATTTGTGCATCACAACTACTGCTCCTTTTTAACAATCACACTTCCCACTCAAATCCTGCTCCCTTCATTTCAATTCCATAAATCCAATCTCAAAAGGAAACCAGCATTTATTTTCCAAGTTGCACAACAGTACAACTCAACCCATTAACAACAGTACAACTCTACACAAGATGGGAGAAATATGCTGCATATAGTCCATGCTCTATACATTTTGGCTCTCAAATTATTAGCGATTAGACCCTTAAATGAGGCCTATTATTCATCAGCTGAAAACCGCTGTCCCATTGGGTACACTCCAGTCCCTCTGGCAAAACAAAATGAGATTAGTACGCAATGGCCAATGGGCACGCCACCACCACCCATAGGGAATGTGGACTATACCTGTGTTTAGACAGAAGGATCACTCCATACCATGCCGCGGGTCCACATATCAACCCACTTTTAAAGGCCCTCACCGTAAACTGTTGTCAATCGCGTTACGATACGCAACAGTCATCGCAAAAAAACACGGGAGCCGCGCTTTCAAGATTTGAGAATTTGCGAAAAGTTGATGTGTTCGAAGAAATAGCTGCTTTAGCAGCTTAGCGGTTTTATTGTCAATATTTTGGCTTTTAATTTGCTCAGCACTGAGCCACCAATTTTCATTGGTGCATATCAGCGCATATCAGCACCTATTGCTTTGGGAAAATAGATGGTGCGCCAGCTTCTCTCATTCGCGGCGCTTTTAGCGTCGTTTCATCTGCGTCATATTTGTCTTCACGTTGTTCGGATCCGTTTTTTGGAGCGCGCCGCATTGGGTTCCTGTCTTTCTCAGTTGTGGAATATCGGTGTCGGGTTAGATTTGACCTGAATATAAGACCTTTAAAGGATTACTGGGATCCATTCAGTTGGCCCTGTTTAGTCATTGTCTTGTTTCGTCGACTGTGTAAGTTACCATTTGCGAGTAGGCCAACGCCAGCGTTTGGAACTGGACAAGTATCGCTGGCACGTTTCAGCTTCATCGGCGAACGTGATCGGTGCCAGCTAGTGTATTTCTTGGTGTGGGCTCCAATGCTGACAGTTTACAACTGGCACTGTGCCAAGTGGCCCTGATTAATGACAATTAATTTCATGATCTATGTGTCATATGGTGCATGTGACGATGACCAACAGCAGTAGCATTAATGCATGTCAGTGGGGAACACATGCATGTCAGCTCTAAAAGAATGCTACACTGCAATTGGCTTAAATGTGATGTCAGTGCACTTAACCTGGAGCAGGTGCCTGGCAGGTCCAGGTCAGGTCAAATTACATTGAGTTTGCACTTTGTTTTGCCTGAGAAATGTTTTAATTGGCAAGTTTGTGCTTTCAATCAACTTTGTAACATTTAGGTACCTTGGAAAATTAGCTTTTGATATAGATCTGGTTTCACAGATACACAACTTGATAATTGTTCCACTAGTGTGTCCAGGATGAACCTGGAAAGTAGAAATTGACCAGGCTGGAAATTTGGAAAAATGAAATGAAAAATTTAAAAACCAGGCTGGAAATTTAGCAGTCAGCAGGTTTACTAGATATATAGCAAGTACAGTAGGAAGTGATTTGTTCCAGTTCTGACATCTGATGTCGGATGTTATGTGTTTCCGTTCTGGCACCCGATGTGTGTTTCAGTTCTAGCATGTGATGTAACGTAATAGTTATGCAGTGAGGTTTCTGGATTGCCATGAGATCTTATCCAGTCATGCCTGATCCGATTTAACATTGTATGGCTGATGACTGATAAGCTTAATATATTTATGGTTTGTGGGTGTCCTTTGACATCGTGAAATGAACCAAATGATTAGCTTAGCACCAGGATTTAAGATGTCCCAAAAAAAGAAGTAAGGGGACCTGTGCTACTGGCCATGAAATCTGCTGCCAATGAAATGTGAGCTTGATAGTTTTCAATTTATCCCATGGCACAAGGCAACAAGTAACAATATGTCTCAAATTGTTATGTTTAGCTTGTATAGGCAATGATAAGTTATGCAGTGAGGGTTATCAGTTGATAACCTGATAATGCTGCAGATTTTGCCAATAACTAAGCTAATGGAGCCAGTCACAGTTGACAGTTAATACTAATTGGTTTTGTCAATATGTTGAAATTTGGAAAGTGTTTTTTATTATAGTAAAAGCTAGAGATCAGCTGATGCACAATTTTTGTGCTTGCTTACAAATGATGCTGTTTGAAAACTGGCTGATCAAGTTTTGTTGATTTGGGCAAATTTAATTAGATATGTGAATTTTCCATGATTTGTAATGCAGTCAATAATTGTTGTGTGCATAATAATGCATTGGTTGGCATGCTCTGATTTTGTAAGATTTTCATCATTTTTAAGCACTGTGCCATGCAACTTTACTTCCCCAGTGGTGTAAAAGGGGCCACCATCACTGGTGACACTGACCTGATGTCTGACATTTATGTGGCATAGATGGTACTTGTTGGTTGCCACTTGAAAGAGGACCCATGTGCAGGACCACTGCACATGGTCCTCTTAAATATTTAATCTGTGCATGAACACTGTTTTTCATATCAGCTGTAGTTATGAATCTCAGGTGCCACAGGTCTCAGTGAATTATCAGGTGGCTGGAAGCTAGGTTCAGTTTCTATTATGCTGTGATTTATGAATTGAAAACTTTTGCATGCTTTGAACCTTGACTTCATTCTTATTGTTGTACTGGATTTGCTGTTAGTGCTGGGCTTAACAACATGCATATGGCTGTAATGTGTGGGACTTCCCAAGCTACCATTTTACTTGGTACACACTACTGGGAGTGTAACTCTTGCAATGGTGAATGGGCTGTCAGGTCCTGGTGTGATCAGCCAATTGACAAGTATATAGCAAGTGTATCGCAAAGTGATTTGTTTCAACACTGGCACTGATGTTATGTGATTGTAATGCAGTGAGATTTCTGGATTTCTACAAGACATGTTATCAGGGTAGCCTCTCTATGAGTCCAGCACAAGAAACCTTGCTCCATCACAGGATGGCTGCAGCTCCTTCAATATTCAACCTGTGTGACATTGGCAATGAGGTACTGTGACTTTGCTGTTTTTTCATAGCATGACCACCAGTTACTTGTGTGTTTACCCCTATCAGACTAAAATACCAACTTATGTTGAAATGAAGCTCTACAGTCAGATGTGTGATCAGTTACAGTCCACGCCAGTACTGTGCATTTTGAAGCTCAACAGCTTAGGGCTGCTTTGTATCTTAGTGGATTTTTCAAAAATGGTGGTTGGAATCAACAACCAACTCTGGGAAATTATTGTAAGGATTTGTGGATATCAGCTGTATGACATAACCAGTTCTGTCAAGGTGGGACGAAGGCTAATCCACCACTGTTAGAGGCTGGCTCGAGACCCATCGACGCCAGAGACACATCCCGGGACATACACTTTGCTTGACCTGACTGCCACAGAAAGATCACCGGTCAGCCGTCCGCGTCCGTATCGGTCCGCCAACTGTCCGGTCAAATGTCCGTCGTTTCTATAGCTCGGTTGGTTAGAGCGCCTGCTTTCCGATCCCCACGCTCGTGGCGGGGTGGAGGCGCTCTCAATTCGCCCTTGACAGGTATGACATGTGGCCAGTGGCAGCAGTCCCTCCAAAGGTCAGCCGACATTTAGACCTTCGTTGACCTTCGGCACGGTCCGTTCTAACCAGAGGCAGAACGGACCTTGCCAAGCATTGCGGGACTTTAAACTGCGCCACCAAAACCTGCCGTTGAGCGGGAATTGCACAATTGGGTGGTAGGGGTTAGCTGAACACACACAACAAGCACTGTGAAGCGCAAGCTCTGATCCCAGAAATCCTTCCACTCAAAAGGTTTGGGTTATTTGTTAAAAGACCGGGTGAGAGACGACTTGGCGTGAGACGGCCGTGTCATGGCATGATATGGCACACATAGATCTCTGTGGTTTGGTATGGCTCAATCGTGCCCAAAACCAACTAAGTGGCGGACTGGAATCCGACAAATTGGTGGTGGTGGGGCCAACATGCATGTAGCAGGTTTGACTGGCAGGTGCCCTGGACCGAAAGCCACATTTGCAAACCATGCAGAGTGAATGCATAATAGAGTTACTGTCTTGACATGGTCGTTTTATAGATAGCTTGAAGTTCCTGTAATCATTCTCAAATGTGGTGTGTTTTCAAATCTAGTGACGTTTGATTTGTCAACGGTTGCCTAATCGCATGTAAATGTGTTTCACCCTTCGTGTGACGTCTTCTCATATCCGTGATGGCTGACTCTGGAAGCATATATTACTACATCTGATGTACAGTGGTGGTGATTGGGAAGTTTGCATATTAGCTTTGCCCGTGGAAAACTTTTCGTAATGATAACACCTATCGTATAGCTTGTGTGGGCAGGGTATGACTTGAGTAGTTGTGGTTGGAATGCCTAAATACCCCCAATAAACAGCAAGCACAGGTACATTGACGAGCATAATGCAGTCTACAGTCTATGACAATGCCAGCAGACCTTTCTGGAGCTATAATGGTGGGGGGGGGGGGGGGGACTATTTGTTTTCGGTGCATCCCGTGCGGGACTTATTTGTTGCCATTTGTTTGATGTTGAAGATGGCCCTGGATGGGGCCAGTCGGCCGCGCCTCCCGATCCGCATCGTCCGGAAGAGCTCTCCGCAGATAAAAAGGAAGCGTTCATGTCTCCACCGCTGGAAGTAAATGGTTAGGCGCGCATCGACTTGGCGAACAGGACGTCGTGCTCGGAGACGTGGCTGGTGGGGTAGCTGGGGATACCTGATGTATCCAGGGTTGCCCCGCGAAAGGCCTCGCGGGCTGTGTGCGTTCCATGGCACAGCGACCGAGTGGGAGGCTTTGGGGGCTGTTCCGTTTGAGCAACAGACGAAGGGCGTGGGAGAGGCTGTGCTTTCGTCTGTGACGGAGAAACCGAGCATGGTAATGCAGGACTGTCAAGTTTTTCAACAGGTAGTGGTCGTGGGAAGGGAGACTGGGCACGTGGAGTGGGTGAAAACATTGTACGTGGACGGCATCATTAAAAGCTGACTCAGTTCAACGCTTTATGCCGTGAGGGCTTGGGTAATGGCGGCTTGGTAAACAACAGCTTGGTGGTTCCTCTGCCGTGAATAATGAACACGCCCGTGAGGGTGGGACGTGCTTGTTATTTAGAACAGACGAGTGGTCGTTGGATTTGGATGCACAGTTTCAGCGTGTCCTGCATGGTTGTTCAGTACATTTTTTCATGACTTAATATGTGGTGTTAATCAGGAATAGGTGCGTGTTGACCAATGCCCACTTTTCACCAGGATAGTGCATTGTATCGATTGGTACAATCTGTGCGAAGGAAGTGTGAACATCTATTTACGAAAATAATTTTATTGCTTCCTGACCATCTTCTGTCTCCAGCCACATTGCGTTCCTTACCCGAATAAACATCAGTCCAGCACGGCTAAGAAAGGGAATGTCCGGTACCATAGCTCCACAGCGTGAGTCCTTCCACTGACGGTCGGTCACGTCGCCTGCAGCTCCCGTCGGCGCCGACACTGGATCTGCTGTGGTGGGCTGTACACCTGCTGCGCTGCCGCAACATGCCTCGCACCCGCCGCCGCGACTCGCCCTCCTGTCCGCGCCTCTACGAGTCGCGCTCACGCAGCC